AAAAAAAAATTTATTTTCAACCAATTCTTGATTTTGAATTGAGTATGATTTTTTAAAGAAATCTGTAAGAATAGCATGGAATTTCAGATCAACAGAAATTTTGATGAAAAATTTGCATCATTAGCTACACTTTGAAAAACCATGTTAGTTGCATTCTTCACTATTTACAAAATAGGCTTATCCTACTGTCTTTGTTTAATGCAGTATAGAAACTTCATTTTAAAAGAGTGTGACAGTGTACATTTCAATGCATTCTGTACTCTCTGATTGGAAAGTATGTCACCTTATTCTTTCAGAGCCAATTGAAATGAATGGGATTCTACTCCCCTTTTGCTGCTTAAGAAATAGGAAAATAAGGCTGTTTCTCAGGCTGATCTTGAGGCTTAGGCGAAAAGACAATTTTCTATCTTGTAATTCACATGTCCTGCATAATTTAGATAAAGATCCAAACAGAAGAAGGAGAAAAATTTCCTTGGAAGTCCAAGCTAAGGAAAAAACACAGTGAATTCAGATGTGCGGTCTTCCATTCAGAAGCCTCCACAGGAACCTGGCTCCAAATGCAGCTTTTTTGTCCTCCTTGGTTAAGTTACCAAACTTGTTGAGGACCTGAGACTCCTTATCTAGGGAAAGGTCGTAATACCTACCTCAACAGCTCTATTATGAGGAATCAGTGTTTCGAAGACGGGTGGTCAATTGTAAAGTGTGAAACAAGTTTATTTTATGTTGTTGTCATGGGCCCCGACCCCTAGTAGGGAAAACTCTTTAGCATGTCTGTCCTCAAGCCAGCACATCTCATGTGACAGTGAGTCTCCATCTGCTCTGACCATTTCTGCTCTCTTTCTTCTATTTCTTACATATGCTCAGTCCCGAACTCAGATTGTTGGGAGCTACTTGGCTTCACTCATTTGTAAACTTGGTTGGGGAGCTGAAACCTTGGGAGTTTCTATTTCCATCTGCAGTCAGAGATGTCTTTACCTATCACGTTACTTTATTGTTAATAATGTGGACCTGTGGGTTCAAATATGTTTCCATGAATATCAACACCATTATTTTAGATTTGGTAGATTTATTTGATAGCTATTTTAACAGTAGCCAAGCAGCTGGTTTATTTCTAGTTGAACATTAGTGGCTGGCTCTGCTATGCTATGTTTTAAACAATTTTTTTCCAGCAGATACAAACGGTTTTTTAAAAGGATGATAATGATAAGGTTAAGTACTCTAAAATCATCTGAAATGTCACTTGTTTTGTGCCAGTCTCATGACTCATCTGCCTATTGTTTCATAATAGTTGTTGTGACTTCTGTTGTAAATGTTCTGCTCCTGTCTGAGTGGGTGTGCAACAAATAAAACACTCCCACAACCACCACCACCAAGGAGGGTTCTTACACACGAAAGATTCATTTACTAGGAATAACATGAGTCAATATTGGTAAAGCCAAACTGTTAACAAAATATCAATGTGTCTTTTAAATGTAAAGGAAGTCCTGTCAAATGATAACTTTTTGTCTCCAAACCACTTTATAGTAACACATTCTTGGGTGACGAGTAAAAATGAAAATTTAGTGATTTTTACTGTCTAAAAAGAATTTCTTCATCATGTGAAGATTTTAATTTTCTATCAGCTAATAGAAAATAAATATCTTGAAAAATACTATGAAAGCCAAAGACAAACATTAAGTGACTAAGAGTTTGTTTTGGTGTTTGTTTGGTTATTGTTTTGTGCTTAGTGGGGCTCTCTTATATTTAGATAGTCTATATTTGGGGATTTGGGACCTTTTAAAGCCAAAGCAGACTGAGTTTTACAAGTATGTCTTCCTGGATGCCATATAACCAGACACAGACATTACCCAATAGAGCTCGTCAGCGGTGATCCAGGCTGAGGCTGAAGGATCTGCTGTCTAGGGAAGGAAGACAGCTGCCCAGTGTCATAGGCCAGTGAGTGGTAGGACTCAAGTGTAGGACACTTAGACCACACCTCTCTGCACCAGTCTAGACTGCTCACTAAAATTCTGTAGATACCTATATTCTTTAGCTGATGCTCATGCATATAGTAGATAATTTTGAATATGTAGTAAACTGAAAATTCTACATATATCTACATTCACATTTTCTATGAACTTAAAAAGTAAGTGATTATTTACATAACTACTATTCTGTCAAGGGTTATCTATGGACTTCTTCGTCTTCTTAAGAGTGAGAAAGGTATTCGCCTTCCCCAGTCCCTGCATCTCTCCTGCCTGCCTTCCTCTGTATCTCCTACCCCCACTTCCATTTTCCTCGCCTGCATCAGTGCCATTCTCTCCAGCATGTTTGTTTGCATGGGCTCTTACATCACATGTCCTTTTTGCTCTGTGCCCATGAATTTTAGTGCATATAAATGGCATCATGCTATCAATCTCGTTCTTATTTTTATCACAAGGTGTGGGTTTTTAGATCCATAGTATTATGGATGCATATACCTAAGAGTTTGCTTTTAATCATCACAACAATCCGTGGTGGGCACTACGTCATTTTACCTACCCACAACACACCCCAGTGGCCTCCCAATTTTCAC